AACAATACATATCACGTAATGGAGAATTTATTGTAACAAGAAATTAACGAAGCATTTCTCTCACCTCCTCTTACCTCTTTCCTCACAGCGTCTTCTCTGTTCTATTCCATCCTCCCTTCCTTTTTCTCTTTTAACTCTAAAACATATGAATTATATTAGATCCAGCTGGTTTTTAAGTCTGGGATTTAGGACCAAAGACAAATTCTATTATTGGATTTATATAAATTGGAGGGTATTTTATTTGAGTAATTTTAACATACAACCCATTTAAGTTTACTCATATGAAATTCTAGTATTCCTAAAACACATTTGATTTAACGTCACTTTCTTCACAGTGATAATACCAACTATATCTTCAACCTGAGCATCCTTGACAATATGAACTCCACCCTTGAAAAAGTTACACTTTTAAATCTTCCCATTGGAAAACAATGTTTATCAATTTCTCCATCATGAGGAAGAGATCACATAAATATCAAGAATTGAGAATGCAAGATCAGATCGAACAAGATATTGCAATAAGATAATTAACAATGTTTAAGACCCAATTGCTTCTTTATTTTTCGATATATGTTCTTGTCAGGAGTAGGGATGTTAACGGGGCCCCGCGGGGTCGGGGAGTTCTTCCCCATCCCCGTCCCCGCGAATGACGGGGACGGGGATCCCCGTGGGGATTTTTGACGAGGGGCAAATTTTGTCCCCCATCCCCATTTCCTGCGGGAAACGGGGATTCCTGCGGGAAACGGGGATTCCTGCGGAGATCCCCATTCCCTACCAATTAATATCAAAATACATATTTTTTTACATCAAACATAAGTAAAAATTAATGAGGCGTGCATCAAACATATAGTGAGTGAGGATGATGGGATACTGCAGCTTCGACAGCAACTCTAGGCTTCAGCAGCAGATTGACAACAACTCCAGGCTCCAGCAGCAGATCAATAGCAGTTTCAATAGCAGATCTATAGCAGCAGCAACAGCAGATCTGTAGTAGCAGCAGCAGCAGATCTGTAGTAGCAGCAGCAGCAGCAGATCTGTAGTAGCAGCAGCAGCAACAAATCTATAGCAGCAGCAGCAGATCTGTAGCAACATAAGCCAAAAGGGTAGGGGAAAGTCGAAGGTGAGGCTGTGAGAGTGAGTGAGGAAAAACTGCAGAAGCAAGAAGGGGAGGGCTATGAGGTGTGCTGCGTGAGTGAGAAAGGGAAATGAATAGGGTTAGGAAATTAGGGTTGGAAGGAGGATGATGGGTTGTGTTGGGATGGGTTGGGTTGGGTAAAGTTTAATTTTTATTGAATTGGGTTTGGGTTTGGGTTTAATTTTAAAAATTAAATTAAATTTAAAATAGAATTAATTTATATACATTTTTTAAATTTTTCGCAGGGATGGGGATCCAGCGGGGCTCCACGGGAGGGGAAAATTCCCGCGAAATTAATGCCTCCCATCCTCACCCCACGGGGAGGAATATTCCTCCCCACCCCGTCCCTATGATGGGGATCCCCGCGGGGCCCCACGGGGATTGGGGCAAATTGCCACCCTTAGTAAGGGGAGAAATTTTGTGGAGGAAGAAGAGAGAGAAGAGAGAGATGAGATCAGCGGAGGAGAGAAAGAAGGCTCGTGTCGAAGAAATTCTCTGTTCGCTCGTGTGTCTTTTTGGATGATGAAATGTTTTTTTCTCTCTTGGCTGAGTTGAGATCGTATTATTGGACGGAGTGTAAATTTAATAATATTTCAAAAATCAATTTTTGTAAGGTGTGGACAGTCAATAGGTTGTTAAAAGCTGCATTTATTATATTTTTTTATAATTAATTTATTAAAAAAGTGTTTTATGGGTGAGGTTTTTTATTAAAAGTGCAGTGTAATTTATA